AAGAGAAACAGTCAGGCAAACCCCAAAACCTCAAACCTATCATCAAAATTCAGACAACATCTTCAACAAATGGAAAACAAGTTCAGATGCTTCTGAGCAAAATTACTGATGGATAGTAAAACGTAAAGATAAAGGACAGAATTGTAACACTGTGCTGGCCAGGATGTGTTAGTTTGAACATTTTCTAAGTAACTGGATGTTTGAAAGCAGCACTACCCAGCACTGCAATTTTCCCATCTGCTTCAAAAGCTCAGCCATTGTTCCTCGAAAAGCCCAAGATACCACACTTGAATGGCTACAGACCTGAGGTCTGCATTTGGGGACTTGAGCCCATTTCAAAACTATAGCACTTTGCCTGTGCTCCAAGTTCTTTGCAATAGACACAGCAAATGTCTAGGTTTAAGTTTTCACTCAATCTTATTTTGTTCCAAAACCATATGATTTTCTTCCTCCTGTAGAACGACAAAAGGTCATTTACAGTTTTTTATTTTATTGGTTTGGTACTATTTTCACAAGGTGTACATTTTCAAAACTCTTAGTACAAAACTTTAAACTGACCACACTTGTAATACGACTAGTCATTCTTTCAAAACATGATCTCATGATTGCATTGTAGTTGCACATATTTTCATTCCACATAATCATTGTTTCAAAACACAAGATCATTGTGATATGTATTGAGAACATTTGAATTAATCACCAAAACACAACAGTATGATCTTCTTTCAATTTAGTACTTTTAACAATCAGTTCATCCAAGAGCAAACAATGCAAGATTCATGTTTAAGATCACCTTTGTTGCTGAAATAATTACAGTAATACAGGCAATAATTGTCATGTTAGAAAATACACTTACATTACCTAACTTGCATATCTCACATAAAAGCAATAAATTTTTGTAAAATAATTTATCCAGTGTGTTATTAAAATGTGTGATGAAGGTATGACATGGCCATAAGTTTTTGTGCTAGAACAGAGTTTACTGTCAATGCAGTAAATGGCCTCACTGTGCCATATCACTGAATCTATATTCTAGCTGAATTTTTCAGATGAAGGGTGAGTTATAGTAATGTGCTGTCTTTACCATGGTAATGCTTCAATATACAGTATCACATGGCATAATGTAATGTAAAATGCTGTATTTTATGTCATCTGTCTCCCTTCTTCTGATACATCTCTGATCAATCTCTGATCAGTTCCTCTCCCTTGTGTCCTTCTGTATGTTCACAAATAGCAAAACACGGTTTTACAAATGAGGAGTTCCTCAAAGGGTGGTTTTAGGTGATTTTGTCAAGTTTTGCTTACTTCTTGGGTACCAGTTTGTCCCCAGAATATGGTTACAGTAAGTAGGTACACACACACAGGTTTTCCTATCGTTATGGTGACATTCCATAGGAGTAATGGGTTTTATACTGTCTCCCCCTACAATAATCCTACTCCTAAACCTACCCTTACGAAAAAAACAAATGTCTCATTGGACCCAAAAAAGGAAAATGATTTCAGATATTGCCATCTTTATGGGGACATTTTGTCACACACACACACACACCCTTACAAAATAGTGGTTATCATCTTAGATAAATCACTTTTAGTGTAAAAAAAAAATCAGTGCATTTGGTTATCCCTAAATTGCAATCACGTTCTATATAAACTAAATATCTATTGAATCTATATCTATAGATGCACCACCAAATGATTCACTGATTAACCATTACGATGAGTTAGATTAAATAATAGACAAATGTATTAAACTGAATGAGATGTTTGATAGTAATAGCTTTACGAAAGGCAGTTACTGTGAATGAAACATTTAGATGAAACACTTATTTTGTGTAGTGAAAAGGACATTTTGTGATTGTGTGTATTGTACTAACACAATTGAAAATATGCTGAAATGTTTGAAAAAGTGCACTTTTGATGATCTGTTGTGATATTAGTACTAAGAGTTTTGAAAATTTACCAATTGCTTGTGAAAATTGCGCCAAAGCAATTAAAAAAAAACTGTAAAAAAAAGTTAAATTAGTGCATACGGCTTGTGAACTATATTCCAAGTCTTCTGAAGCAATACAGTACCCCAGTTACTCAACAACACTCTTTTCAATTTGTTGTTGCATTGTTTAGTATAAGTCTGTTTGCCTCCTCATCTTTACAATTTGCACAATGGTTTTTATACGCTGACATGAGCAAACAATTCTTTTTTTAAGAGTTTTTGACCTTGTTCTCTGTGTTACAATAACACCTGCACATTTAATTAAACATAATTACTTCACATACTTAGCTTGCTCACAGGCCATTCTGTCTTCGCTCAGCCTTGTGTGGTTTGATCTGCATGCTTAGCCGTGCATGTGTAAGCTTCATTTGGAGATAATTGCTAATAATTATCCCCTGATAAGTCAGTACGGCACAAGGCGGCTTGAGAACCGGGGCTGTTTTGCTGTCGGTTTCCAAACTGGCACAAGAGCAGATAAGATATGAAATGATGAAGACGAGTTCTTTTTTCAAGTGGTCAGTTGAAAGGGGGACCATTTAAAGAGAGACATGCACATTCACTGTAATCCTTTATCAGAGCAAGGTAGTGTTGGATGGCATAGCCTGGTTAAATTAAGACAGAGAGTTTCTATTGTGGAGCCCTGAAGAGCAGCTTTGGCATTAAAGTCTAATTAAATATATTTTTTTACTGCGTTTCTCCTTGAGGCAGCTATTGCACCTCGTCTCCCCTGGTGACCAGACTGGAACGAGAATGTTTCGTTTCTGTTAGCAATGCTACCATGCCGACGGCAAAGAGACCCGGCGGGCCCTTGCTGTGTCCCCTTCATTACATCAGCAGCACAGCTCTGCCTCGTATCAACACCGTGATTAAAATGTTACAGGTGATAAGAGGATATGAAGGTCAAGCCACAAGGAGTGCGGCATGGAATCTGAGACCTCCACCTGAACTTAACAAGGAGGCCTCATCAGAATGCCACGCATGCCTTTTACTTCATGCAGCTCGATGGCTTTGTTTTGTTCAGTCATTGGACCAGCCTTGTTAGTTCAGGCTGGTGAGCCATTCACTGCAATGCATAGTTCTTACTGAATAAGTACCTCATTGCCTACTTGAAATGTTGCATGTCACTGTAAAACAGCTTGTTTTTATGGTTTTTACTTTTGTGTAGTTTTAATATGTCTCAGAAGTCTATTACTCGCTGTTTATATGCAGTTTAATGACCCACTATAATATCAGGGACTAATTTGCATCATATGTCATTATTTGGTGGGAGATTTTATGTGTGCAAGCTTGCTGACATTTCACAGAAGCAACAGATTCATGCTTGGCTGACAGGTGCCAGTTTTAAAGAGGATGTCCTAGAATCTTGAGATTTGACATACCCTTCTGTTAAATTAAATTTTAAAAAAATCTATAGATAATGAGATGCAAATCAGGGTGTCTGGAGAATAATGCCCTCTCATTTATTCTGCCCGTGTATACCTGCGGGGACTGAGCAGTCATTTGTCACTTCCAAATGTGATTCAGTGCATCACATTTATCAGCCCCTGCACGTGCATCTCTTCGGACACACCGGTTTTAATGGTTTTAATAATGCTCCTCTGTGCCCACGCAGGGCAGACCGTACACCTGCGTGAGAAAGAGAGACAGCAGACATCAAGAGCCTGGTTATGCCCGTAATCCGCGAGGAGCCTCAGTCTGGAAAAAGTTAGATCAAAGACTAGCTACTGATCAGCTTTTGATTTTTTTACAGTGTTAGTTTAATCAGTTAGAATGAAGCTGTGAAGCTTTAAAGGAATTCAGTTTTTTTCCTAACTTAATGGATGGCATATGTGACATGATGTTTATTACTGCAAGGTGTTATTTCGGCTATAATAATAATGTAAAATATTTATAGTAATACATTTACATTGGAGGCATGTGGACCAAGTACTTATATATTTATATTCATTTCCGTCATTCATTTATATGTATAAATTCTGTTTTCTATTTCCATTTTTATTCATATTTTTGTATTCCCTTACTCCACAAAATTAATTTATGTGAGTCACACTTAATCACATACTCATGTTGGGGAAACAAGGTGGATTATGATTATGGCTTTATATAGTTTATGATACAGATACAGATGAGGTTAAAGATAATTGTGTTATTCAGTAAATGAGTTCAAAAAAATATTTGTGCAAGTGATGGTCAATTTATTTTTAAATTAGGAGCAAGAATCACAGGTGAACTGAAAAACAGACACACATATAGCCTAAACTAGTTAAGCTACTCTATTCTAGCTGCAGAACAGTTTCGCATTACTGCATCACATTTCTTTACGTCAGTACTGCATGTGTGCCACAGAAATATCCATCTTTTGCCTTCCTGCATACAAAATCAATTTCCATGCTTAGAGAGGAAATGGGGGGAGCAAACCTTGCTGCATAGTGTGCATGTGAGACAAATGCTTGCTGGGGTTTGTCCTCAGTGGCCATACTAAATGTATTACCAACAACATTTAAAACATGACTGCCTCTGAGGATTTAAAACTTTCACAAGTGCTTTAGAATTGATTGATATTAAATAGAATTCATATAGCACAAAATCTGTAAATAATCAAAGCTTGCAACATATATGCCAAATATACGGCACTTATTTTTTATATTATCTAACAGTTTTCTTTCTCTCATTGCAAGTGTGACCTGTATGTAATTATTTCTTTTCCAGTGGGATAATTATAAATAACCTATCTTTCGAGAGGAATGAAAAAACATAAAAATAATGATGTGGATTTTGCAGAATCCTTGGCACCATGTGCAAGGTTTTGAAGTCACTTTCTGGAAGCTTCAGAATACCCCCACATGCAGATGCACGTTTACTTGAAATGCAAATGATTTACAAGGTCACTCTGGTCTCATTTAAGTGCTGGTTCCAATTTTTTTTCCCCTCTTGGGTGTAATTGAACTCCACAAATGAAAATCCACAAGGGCATATGTTTTATTCTTTTTTTTTTCTTTCACCGTGACAGGTGCAAGTGCAACCTTCACGCCAACAGCTGCATCTATGACAAAGAGAGACTGACTTGCGAGTGTGAGCACAACACCACGGGGCCTGACTGTGGCCGCTGTAAGAGGAATTATCAGGCCAGAGCTTGGAGCGCAGGATCCTATCTCCCAATCCCCAAGGGCACAGCAAATATCTGTGAGTACACACAGACACAGACACGTGCACACACATTCCCATTCCACTTACTGGAAAGAACAATATGGGCTCTGTGTTTGTGGATAACAAGGCTCACATGTCCTTTTACTCTGACCATAAACCATCTCTCTTACTGCTGTCCTACCTTTCACAATGCGCTCATGGTGTCTCCCCAGAAGCCATTACCCTACTTCCAGTTTAAAACCAGGTCCTCACAGGAACTCTGACACCAAATGCTGAACAACACAGTCACTTCTAAACTTTAAGAAGGGCTATCAAACATCATTTTTTTAAACATTGGTTTCTGTTGAATTACAAACTAAATGCTTGTTATTGTGTACTGCACTGAGATAAAGTCCAAAAAGTGGTGGTGGTACTATGGTTATCAATTGTGATTTGATGCACATTGTGATCCATTAGATCCCAAAATATTTAAGTGAAATGTGAATTTCTGAAATTCTGTTTTATATGTCCTACTTTAGCTTTAATAACAGCAGCACTTGAGCTAAATAAGCTCTACAGATTTGAAAATCTATTTTTATTTTTTTCTGAATCATAATCAAAATCATAAACTTTTCAGTTTATTTCCAGGATTAAATTAAACTTTTGGACCCCACTGTATACTATGGTACTGTATGATTTCCATATGCCATACTGTATTTACATTCCCAGTACTTCAGAGAATGCCATAGTATTACCATTATGGCAGTTCCAAAGCACCTACTTTTTACTGTTCTTTTGCCTTTAAAGATATAAAATAAAGAGATAAAAAAATTCTGTTACTCACTATCATGCAGTTCCAAACTTGTATGACATACTTTTTGTTTTGCGGAACTGAAGATATTTTGAATAAGGTTTCAGTTTGATATTTTTTTATTATTATTTGATAAAAGTCCAAAAAGAAAATACAAAAAAAAAAAAAACAAGAAAGAAAGTCACACAGGTTTTAAATGGCATGTGGGTAAAGCAAATGATGGCATAGCTCCGCTTTTGGGTGAACTATCGCTTTAGGGAATGTTTACCCTTCCAAAAGATGCAGAATACTTGTAGGACCTGTCTTTCAAAGAATGCAGTGCATGTCAAATGTTAGAACTATAACAGAAGGACAGTTAGCCTTTAGAAAACCAGTGCTGTCTGTAATTCCAGCCGGAGGACTACACCACCACTGCAGTTCAATTCAAATGGCAGGAGACAGAGCCTTCAATCCAGCACACAGAATGTTTGCCCAGAAGTAAACTAGCACTATTAAACACTCACCATATGCTTCTGGGACTAAAGCAGCAGCACATACCACAGATATGACCTTAGCATGCACAGAAACTGTGCATGCCAAAAATTTATTTTCAGTCCTCAGCAGGTTTGTTTGTGTGTCTGTACATGCATGTGTATGAGTGGAGCGATGCATGCCTCCTGGCAGCTGTTGTACCTCATGACTCTCTAGGAGCCGGTGGAGTGTTTTGAAGGACTGAGATTGACAGGACATTATTAAAAAAAAGCCAGCACAGACTCTGAACCCACTATAAAACACAGCCTCACATTAAACCCCTTATTATGGTCCTGTGTGAGGGAGAGTGAGAAATCCATAACGTAATAATGCTGCAAAAGCCAGGCTCTTAGATCATTCCCTTTGGATTAAAAATAATTAGATTAAACAATAATAGTATTTCAGACATAAGAAAGGCAGTTTGTCATTTTAAAACCAATTGCAGCTGATTTTACAACAGTTCTATGTGCTTGACACCATGCAATGGAGACAAATGGGGTAAATGAAAAATCTAGTAGTAAAAATAGAGTAGATGTAGTAGAGTAAATGTCCAGTAATCTGCTATTTTTATCCTATAAGTAGTATTGTAGCACATTGTAGCATTTTGTATGCATATGCATACACAGAACAAATGCAATAATCCAACACATTCTAAAAATGACGCACTAAAATGAATGAAGCATTAGGTCATATTAATTTTAGCAAATAAAAAAGTATTTTATAGGTTTGTTTATATATTAGTTCATTTTTTTTTTTTCAGTTTGTTTGTATTCCTCATAGATTGTCACACACACACCCTACACCTAAACCTACCCCTCACAGGAAACTTTCTGCATTTTTAGATTTTCAAAAAACTTCATTCTGTATGATTTATAAGCTTGTTTCCTCATGGAGACCTAAAAAATGTCCCCATAAGGTCAAAATTTACTGGTATTACTATCCTTGTGGGGACATTTGGCCCCATAACGTGATAAATACCCGGTACACACACACACACACACACACACGTAGGTTGGGTTTCCGTGTTTTATGGGGACATTCAGTAGGCATAATGGTTTTTATACTGTACAAACTGTTTTTTCTTTCGCCCTACACCAACCCTACACCTAAACCTACCCCTTACAAAAAACTTTCTGCATTTTTAGATTTTCAAAAAACTTCATTTTGTATGATTTATAATCTTGTTTCCTCATGGGACCAAAAAATGTCACCACAAGGACAAGGATTTCAGATATTGCCAACTTTCTGGGGTAATTTCATCCCCATAACATAGGGTTTACCAGGACCACACACACACACATATGTACCAAATGATATATATATATATATATATATATATATATATATTAAGGCTGGTAAGCAATTCAAATTTTAGTCTAATTAATTACATGATGTGGCGATTAATTAATCTAATTAATCGCAAATTAATCGCACATCATATTTGGCTGAGAAATTACTCCCAAAAGATAATTTAAATTCATTGTTGTGTAAAGCATCAAACAGACATAACTAAAAAGTAGCTTCAGCAAGAAATATTTTGTTTGATAAAATTTATTACATATACTCTTTTGGACCATAAGGGTGAGTAAATGATGACACAATTGTCATTTTTGGGTGGGTGAACTATACATTTAATAATTTATTTTGTTAATATTATTATTATTACTATGTGAATATGAAATTATTTCTTTAATAAAATTATACTCTAAATAATAAACTAAAACTGCCAGTAGGTGGGGGTAATGGCAAAATTTGTTGGCAAAACTGAGCAAAACAGACAACATTGTCTCTAAAATAACACAATATTAACTTCTTACTTATTGAATTGTTGTATAAGATCAGTATCACATTTGCACTTAGCCTATTGCTTGTGTGATTGGACCATGAGGGTGAGTAAATGATGACACAATTGTCATTTTTGGGTGGGTGAACTATACATTTAATAATTTATTTTGTTAATATTATTATTATTACTATGTGAATATGAAATTATTTCTTTAATAAAATTATACTCTAAATAATAAACTAAAACTGCCAGTAGGTGGGGGTAATGGCAAAATTTGTTGGCAAAACTGAGCAAAACAGACAACATTGTCTCTAAAATAACACAATATTAACTTCTTACTTATTGAATTGTTGTATAAGATCAGTATCACATTTGCACTTAGCCTATTGCTTGTGTGATATTGCTTAACTATAAGATATGAAATATGAGACAAAAACTCAAAACATGGACATTTTTGCACCATATCTTGAATTTTAGGGACATTCTAACTACGTTCTCTAGGCTCCATCACGCAGTGAGTTGTTGCTCTGCCTCATATTTGTCATCAATCAGCTGTATGAAATGTCAGATGACCCACATGGGGCGGGGCAAGTGCGTTAAATGCATTCATAATTTTAACGCGTTATTTTTCACTGTAATAAATTAATCTAATTAACGCATTAAATTACCAGCCCTAATATATATATATATATATATATATACAG